GTAACAGTGACGCTTTTGGATGCCATGTTCTTATATTCAAGATTATTGCCTACTCTACCTGAAAGTGGATAAAATAATATGCTGTTTTCAGATTTGTTCTACTGGAATAGTGGTGTTTTTATTTTATCATTTTAATATGTTAAATTGGTAGAAATATAGTGGAAAATGGAGAAGTGCATGAATAGGAAAAATGTGTGATATGTTGATTTGATGACATTGATTGCCAATATGTCTGTTCCAATATGAGCATTCCAATAAGAATAAAAATAATTATATTTGAAGCAAAAATTCTATTGTTTTACGTTCAGAAAACTAAGAGGGTGACGAAAGTGGAAGTTGGAACCGGGACAACCGATGCCTCAAACGACGAGTGGCTGCAGGTTTTTGACAGTAAATTTTTTTTTCTTTATTTATTTTTTAGTCCATGGCTATGCTATTGAAGTTAAAAATGTTCATAATTTTTTTTCGGCTATTGATTTCTGTTACAATGTGGTATGATTACTCAGGGCACTGCTTACTCTACTCAATCTTCGGCCAAACTAAAGAAGAAGAAGTAGATTACCATGCTCACGCAGTTGTTCGTAAGCCTACGCGTTAAAAATATTTGTGGAAGATTTTGTAGATCTTCAGAGGAGGGAATAGAAAAATTAGGGGAAGGTATCGCCAAACTGTTGTAGCATGAAGAACGAGATTGTTACATTTTCTTTGTCTTGTGGAGACAATTTTTGAATGCTAGTGAATTTAGCTGTAAAACCGTAAAACCGACTCAGAACAAACAGATGGGAAGAGACTTTTTTTTGTTACATCATGTTTGGTAGATTTGATTAAGGCATGATAAACTTTTTGATTAAGGCATGATAAACTTTACCATGCGATAATTTGCATATTTTATTCTACATGACTACTGGTAGTGTCGAATTTTTCCATTACTCGGCATCCATTATTGTTCGTGCATTGTTCTCCACGCCCCAAAATTTCAGAACTTCGATGGGCTTTTTCCAGGGTGAAGATGTAAATACATCGTCGTTTTTGCACGTTTTTATCTCTATTCACGTGAGCTTAGTTTTGTTTGGCTCGTTAAGGTTTGAGGTTAGCTCAACTCGTTTGATAAATGAGCTGAGCTTGAGCTCGCTTAAAGATTGTTTCGTTAATGAGTTGGTTAGTTAGGATCGTTAAAGCTCGTGATTGGCTTGCTAATATTGTTAAATGAACTGAGTTCGAGTTTGATTTTTGACTCTTTTACTTAATGAGTCGAATTAGGCTCAGCTTGTTAAGGGCTCGGGTTATGTTTGAAGCAACCAAGTTATCACTTGCTTCTCAGTTCTCATTTATCTCAGCATACACTCACAACACAAGCCATGAAACTATCAGCCCAAATTAGTTGCCCATATAATATTGGGTTAGAAATCCCAAAGAACTCAATTTAATTGGGATCAGTGGCAAAACGAAAATTTGAAAAGTATTTTTTGCAAAATTATTTTTCGATAAGATGCAAATCGAATTTCACAAAATTGACTAATCTATACTTATATAATAAGAATTAACATTTATCCAAAATAGTAGGTCAAATTATGGTCAATGTCGGATTTGCATTAAATATTTTCCAAAACTGGTAAGTTTTTGTCATTTTCACACTTCTCATTAATTATGTCATTTTCACACTTCTCATTAATTATGTCATTTTCACACTTCTCATTAATTATGTCCTTTTCACACATCTAATTAATTCATTAATTACGACATAATTATCATAAATCATTCCATCTGAGCTTTTATCGTTAAAATGTATAGCGATCTGTTATGACCTTATATTTCCATGAAGCGTCCTTATCGCGTTCTATTTTTTGGTAACCACTCTATATCGATAACCGGATATTTGGTTAATGATAGCACACGTCTTTATTCAAGGAGCGGATACTTTGACCTTTAATTAATCTGAACTGATTGCCTTGACTTTTCAATTATTAAAAACTCTTTTTTTAATATTTCGGCTTAACATTCGGATTTCATTATACAAGTCATTGGATTGTTTGAATGAAAATGAATGAAAAGAACACCAAAAACAGGTAGCCTTATTCATATAACCAATCCTAAAATATTAGTTTGTTCACCAAAAAGAGACAAATCCTAGAAATCCTAAAATATTAGTTTGTTCACTAATTCTAAAATATTAGTTTGTTTACCAAAAATATTAGTTTGATTTTTAGGATTTGTCTCTTTTGAAAATATTAGTTTGTAATAATGAGGAATTACCAAATAATCAAACTCATAATGTTGTGTACAAGGAGGTTTTTAATAATATATGATTGTTACCGAACTTTTTATAATTCAATAATGTTCCTATTTATTTTAATGATTTCAATTTCGATCATTCTTTTAAATTTTACATCCGTGCATCGCACGGGTTATGTACTAGTTTGACTATAAATGCGAAATTGCAAATTAACTTTTGTAAAATATAATAGTTTTGCAAAAGCCAAAAAACGAGCTAGTACAAATCGGAACGGATTTTATCTCTCCCATTTGTCTGTGTTCTATCCGAACATTATTATCTCTTTACACGCTCAACTCACGAGAGTAATCTTTTCTTGTGTCGGGAACGAGCAATAGCAGAGCGACAAAATAGAGAAGAATATGGGAATTAGGGTTTTTTGTATCCTAACTCTGCTGCTCTTTTCATCATCATTTCTACAAGGTAATCATCGGAATTGAGATCCAGATCCGTTTCGTTTGTCAACGCTCGATTTGTCTGTTTTTCTTGAGTCCAATTTTGTAGTAAGTTTGTTGATTTAATCACCTTGAGCTGTTATATAAATGCATGTCTAGAAACCTTTTTGATTCAATTGATGTTATTGATCATATTCACTTTCTTTCTTTGGAAGTCGTTTTGGTTTATGTTTAGCGTTATGTTGGTTAATTCAGAAGTCCTTGTGGATTTTTATTTTCCGTGATCTGTTTTTGGTAGCATTCCCTAATATTCTCTAGTTTGCGATTGTGTGTGGTGGTACATGTTCTAAAATTCTGAAGCTTTCTGATTTGTGATTTTTTACTGCACGGTGATGATTGTTGGCCTTCTGGAATTGGGCACATAACCTGTTGAAATATGGATGAGCTGACTTGAATCATTGATAATATTTTATTGAATTCCCACCGCATTGTACAATCCTCCTTTTGATTGATTTGTCTCTTGCCCATTATTCTGCAGAAATCCTATTCAAGTCTTGTATTAATTAGGGGTTTTAGATTTTGAACTATTTTGCTCATTTTCTCTGTAGTGGAATGTGTCAAATGATATAGATCACATAATGAAATATGAACCCCTTAATGATCATCAACGTTTATTTGCTATGTAGTTGCAAGATGTGAACAGGGTGATGCAGAAGTAGTTGATTCATCTGAGGAAGTAGGAGACATTGGGATTGTTGGTGATGATGTCCAGGATTTTGGTGGAGGGAGCTTTAGTCCAGCGCCAGGCGTGGAAACTGTTTGTGTCTTCCCCAAAAACCCCTCAAAGTGTTAGTTTATTCCTGTTACCTGTTATTTCTACTGTATCCAATGAGCTTCATCCCAGTCGCCATATATGGCCTATTGAGTTTCAGTTATTTTTCAAATAAACCTTTAATCTATTTTCTTTTGATTCTCTTTTTTTTTTCCTGTTTCAGTGATAGGAGCTGGCGAAGAAAGTGAACTTCTAGTTGGATTGAAGAATGAGGGTGAGAGTCGTGAGACTTTGTTAATTTGTCTATTGATCTTTCTTTCCAACATTTCCCTGTGGATCTTGTTTCCATATTTGTCTATAATGGCATGACCTTGGTTGTATAGCCTTCATCTGTTCTTTTATTTTAAGTTAATATAATATTTTCTGCATTATATTCATTTAAATATGTATAGGGATCCTTGTTGGGGTTTTCATGTCTTGGATGTTAATTTTCAGGAGAATCAAACATAAATATTATCGCGATCCAGGCTAGCGTGCATCTTCCTTTTGATCACCGTTACTTGCTTCAGAATCTTTCCGCCCAGGTTTATTCTTGCTTACTTCTCTTTGTTGTTAAGTTGTCATCTAGATTTGTAGTATTTATGGTGACAAACTCTAATAGTGTTATAAACTCATATGGCTACTATTTATGTGGTCTACTATCTGAAAACGATGTTACATAGATTATATACAAGATATTATTGCCTGTTGGTGGGTTGTCTAACCTTTTAAATCGTATGGTATTTGCTGTTTTTGGGTGTAAAACCAATAGAGTTTCCTTTCTTTGAAGGTATTTCCTGTTTTTCTATCAGTTGGTTGGTTGGTTTGTTCGCCTATTTACTTATAGGACTAGCTTCTACCCTTTAAGTTTTTAACTTGTTAATTCTACCAGATAGATGTAGCGTGTATCTTAAGAATAGGATGTACACTGTCATTTTAAAATACGATTCTCGCTATTTTAATGTATTGGGGACTTCTCATTCATCTTTGCATGGTGATATACTAGGCTTTTAACAATGCTTCAGTCCCTCCATCAGCTCAAGCAACTTTCCCTTACATATTCGGCGTGAGCAAGTTCTTACAGGTAATTTTATAGAAGTGTTGAAATATGTTACCTTATTTTATTTTATTTTAAAAAAGCCATGTGAGTGTCCGGGTTCATATTGTGACATGTTACATTGTTTTTCATTCCTTACAGCCCGGCTCATATGATCTTGTGGGGACTATTGTTTATGAAATTGATCAGAACCCCTACCAGAGTACCTTCTACAATGGAACAATTGAAGTTACTGAAGTAGGTGGGTTGCTGAGTGTAGAGTCCGTTTTCTTGTTTTGCCTTGGTGTAGCCTTGCTTGGTCTTCTTGGGTTTTGGATAAGGAGCCAATTCCAAAATCTCTCCAAGGTTAATTCTCTCTCTCTCTCTCTCTCTCTCTCTCTCTATCTCTCTCTCTCTTCCCTTCTGCTTATACTGCTGGTATGTAGTGCAACTGTAGTTATATCAATGAATTACCTTAAATACTGCTGAAACTCTATTATACTGAATATTGATTACATTTTGTTGGCATGTTGTGTTGCCTGTAATATAGCTATAGAAAAATCTCGCTAGTTATCTCAATTAATTTAACCTTTTGCCTTAACTTATTTTAGAATTGACCCATTCTGATGCCATGTGCTTATATCCAAGATTATTTCATGCTCTGCCTGAAAGTGGATAAAATAATATGCAGTCTTCAAACTGTTCTACGGGCATTGTGGTGTTTTCATTTCATCAATAATATGTTGAATTGGTAAAATGATAATTGGGAAAAAGAGAAGTGCATGAGTATGAAAAATGCTTGTGATATGTTGATTTGATGAAGTTGATTGCAATAGTAACAACAATAACAATTTCTGAAGCAAAAATTCTCTTTGTTTCACTTTCAGAAAACTAAGAGGGTGACGAAAGTGGAAGTTGGAACTGGGACAACTGATGCCTCAAACGATGAGTGGCTGAAGGTTTGTGATAGTTTACAATTTTTGAAAAAACAAATGGCCTTTTTATTGAAGTTAAAAATGTTCATAAATTTTTTTCGGCTATTGTTATTCGTTACAAAGTGGTATGATTGATGATTGTTATTGTTATGATATATTATGCTCAGGGTACTGCTTACTCTACCCAATCTTCGGCCAAATCAAGGAAGAAGAACTAGATTACCATCCTCACAGTTGTCTGTAAGCCTATGCATTAAAAAGTTTTAGGATGAAGATTTGTAGATCTTTCGAGGAGGGAATAGAAAAAGTAGGGGAAAGTATCGGCCAACTGTTGTAGTATGAAGAATGAATTTGCTACATTTTCTTTCTCCTGGAGACAATTTTGAATGCTAGTGAATTTTATTAACTGTTAAACTGATGGAGAGCAAATACTTGGAAAGAGACTGTTTTTTTGTTACATCAGGTTTTGTGGATTATTGTTATTTTGTCAAATTAATTTATATTTCAATTCACATACCTTAGAATGCATGTTTAATTCATAGACTCATGAGTTTTGTTACACTGTATCTTCATGTTGGAAACATTTTCGAAAGCAACACACATATGTATGCTTTTGTATCATTTTAGAAGTCCTTTTTTTGGCCTTTTTGCTCTTTTTGATATGTTTATAAGCCGAAGCCGCACATCTGGATATCCTTATTATGCCTAACATCTTAAATATAAGAAAGAATTAATGGTATGATTGGTATGATGGAATGGAATTTCGATGAATGGAATGAATTGAAGAATGAAATGATTATGGGAATAGAATGAAACATGTTTTGTCATTGATGCGTTTGGTATGCAGAAGGAATAGACTGGAATGGAATGACATTATCATTTTTTATTATGAAAGTAAATAAAAGTTTTTTTTTAAAAAAATAATATACTTTTAATAAATTATATAAATTTTTTTTAATAATATATAAATATAAAATAATATATTTTTAATAATATATTTTGAATAATATATAAAAATAGAATAATATATTGTTTAATAATATAAAAATAATATATTTTTAATAATATATAAAAATAAAATTAAAAATAAAGTAATATATTTTAATAATATATATTTTTAATATTTTTTTTTCAATAATATATTTTTAATAATATATTTTTAATATATAAAAAATATTTTTAATAATATGTAAAAATAAAATAATATATTTTTAAATTATATATAAATGCTTTTTTTAGTTTTATTTATATATAAGTATTTAATATATCTAATTAAAAAATAAATAAAAGTAAGTTTTCAAATTTTTTATTTGAATATTTTTTAAAAAATAATTTTATTTATTGAAAAATTGATTCTTAATAACACAAGTAATTTTGATCTCTCTTTCTCTCTCGCGACAAAAAACCCTCGCCGTCTGCTACCTTCTTCTTACTGTGTTGCCTTCCTCGCCGGTGGTGAGGCTTTGGCCCACCGTCGCCCCTAGATCGCTCGTCCTTCCCTCTGTCTCCTCAGCCGTCTACTGCTGCCATGGTGAATCGGCGATTGGAGATCTGCCCCTATCCTAGGTCGCCGGCGAATTCGCGATTTTCGGTGGTGAGCTCCTTAGGTCGGCGATTGGTCAAGCAATTGGTGGTGTCTATTGCTGGCGGGTCTCGATTGGAGGTGGTTGACCTCAAAATCCGACTTTGCAGTGACGGGAGGGTTCTTCCGCGGGCGGCTCCGTCTTCCCGGTGGGGCCCTGAAGGGGCTTTCGTTTTTATTTGCCGGCGGACTGCGGTGATGGCCGGTAGGAGGGTCAGCAGGTGGGATGGGGCTTCAGCGGCTGTGACGTCCATCGTCGGAGAAGCTAGAGCGGTGGGACTGTGTCGCTCTCTTTCTCCCCCCGGTTCTCTGGTGTTGGGGTCGGATGGGGTCCAGAGCAACCGAGTTTAGCTAGTGGTGTTAGATGGATTCAGGTTGTGAAGGTGCGGGAGTTGGTGTCGTGTCCCCTCGATTGGGGGTGGATCGTTCTGGGGCTAGGTTTGGGGCTCAAGTTCGACTGCTTGTATAGGTGTTTTCGCAGTTTCGGTAGTAGTGCCTGAGCTCGAGATTTTCCTTGGATTGATTGATCTCTGCGGGCCGAGCTCGTTGGCCGATTGGGGAAGAGCTTGAATGTAGTAGTTTAGTAATTTTTTTCCTATTTTTTGTTTGTTTTTCGTAGGCTTGTGTTGTTCGGTCTTGTGTTTTTGGTTTTGGGTCGTTGGCCCCTGTGAGCCCGAGTGTCTACTTATTATCCTGTTGGGATCGGACACTCCGGTATTACTCTGTTGGGGTCTTTTTAGTTTCTTAGTGTTTTCGTTTATCAGTGTTGTAGTGTGTCCGTGAGTATTACCCCGTTGGGGTCGGCTCTAGGCGGTCCTTGGACTGTCCTCTCAGTTTATTCAGTTGTTGGCTGTCTGTATTCAGCTGTTGGCTGTGTGTATTCAGCTGGTGGCTGTTCTTTTGTACATTTGTGCCATATTATATAAAACCTCTATCGTTTGGAAAAAAAAAAAAAAAAAATTAATTCTTACAAACATGTGAATGAGAAAACCTTCCATTTACTATGGAATGGCTAATCTCATGGAGATGAGTTTTGTCATTCCCATTGGAATGGTCATTCCTTCCCAAAAAATATACCAATCATGGGATAAGGAATGAGTAAGGGAATGATCATTCTAGTCTCATGTCATTCCTTCCTATCCATCATGCCGTAAGAACAAAAAATGAAATTTCATTTAGATACACATTTATATCAATATCATTCAGCTACACACACTGACACATACATATATATGTATATATATAGCATGATAAATCTTTCTATTATTATTATTATTATTATTATTATTATTATTATTATTATTATTATTTTTTGGAAATTTCTTTCTATATGTGATGAATCTAATATCTTTTTATCTATAATATAGATTTTCAAAAGGTGTTAAAATTTAAAAAATTTGAACTCAGTGAGTGTTGACTAATTGGGCTGAATTTCGCTCGTTTTAGTAAAACACGCGGGTCTATGATTAATTGGGCTAAATTTCCCCGAAAGTCCAACACAAAAACAACCAAAATCGGAGACACCACGTGCATAGCGATGACGCCTGATATTTTTATCCGCTCTTTCTACACAAATCCAAATCGGACGATTGCCCAAACGAAAATCTGTAAAATTCACGAGCAATTAGATCGGAAACATGTCTTCGACCTTCAGCGGCGATGAAACAGCTCCGTTCTTCGGCTTCCTTGGAGCCGCGGCTGCTCTCGTCTTTTCCTGTAAATTTTCCTATTTCTTCTTCTCACACACAGTTTTATTTTTTGGTTCATGTATTGATGTTATATTTACTGAATGGTTGTTTTTCATAACATGTTTTATGATAAGTTTGATTTTGTTAGCTGGTATCTCTTTTTACCTTATATGTATTTCTGTTGTAACTAGTGTTTTCCTATGTATCGGTTTTATTTGATGTGATCGTTGTACATATCCCCGGTACTGATTCGGTTTTGTTTGCTGGATTTTCTTTTTTTGGTTTGATTTGATGATTTAGGTTTGTGTGCTGTGTAGTGTTAATATATTAGAACTCTGTAAATACTAACTGTTGTATCGGTTTTTTAGCTTGTTTTATGATATTTTTGATTTTGTTGGCTAGTATCTCTTACCTTATCATTTTTCCTGTGAATTTAGCGTTTTCGTATGTATATATCTGGCTCTGACGTGCATTACATTTGCTGGATTTTTTTTGGGCTTGAGAGGTGTTGTTTCATAATTCTATGCAGCTTAATATATATATATATATATATATGTATAGAGAGAGAGAGAGAGAGAGAGAGAGAGAGAGAGAGAGATTGTATGGTTTTTTTTATAGCTTGTTCTGTGATAATTTTGATTTTGTAGGTTAGTATCTTTTACCTTATCATTTATTCCTGTGAATGTAATGTTTTCGTATATATCCCCGGCTCTGATGTGGATTACATTTGCTGGATTTTTTTTGGGGCTTGATTTGGTGATTTAGGTGTTGTTCCATAAATCTATGCAGCTTAATGTGCATATATATGTATGTGTGTATATATATATATATATATATATATATATTATGTCTCATGAGTCATGATTATCAATTCAAACACTGCTTTTTGTTTGTATTATCTTAGTTTTTCGAACCTCTATCCTTTATCTGTTTAGATTATTTCATTGCATCTGAATGTGATTTTGCTTGTAATTAAAGGTATGGGTGCAGCTTATGGGACAGCGAAGAGTGGTGTTGGTGTTGCATCAATGGGGGTGATGAGGCCAGAGCTGGTGATGAAGTCGATTGTGCCAGTTGTCATGGCTGGTGTTTTGGGTATTTACGGTTTGATTATTGCCGTAATTATCAGCACCGGCATTAACCCTAAAGCTAAATCCTATTATCTTTTTGATGGATATGCCCATCTTTCTTCTGGCCTTGCTTGTGGCCTTGCCGGGCTTGCTGCTGGAATGGCTATTGGTATTGTGGGGGATGCTGGCGTTAGGTATTCAACTTTAACTGCTTTCTACTGATATTATGATCCTTGTTTACATTATTTGATCCTTATTAAAATCTCACTAACAACTAACCATACCTTGCTGGAATGGATATTTGATGTGTTTTGGTGGGTGAAATTGATATGTGATGGGCTTTGTTGTTACATTATGACTAATATTAGTCTTTACTTTTTAGACTTTTGAGGGATTGATATCAGATATACTTTGTCAGGGTGATTTTTTAATACCATCCGTAGTTCAGTTGATTAACCATTAGATAAGTCTTTAATGTGTTGTAAGAGGTTTGATCTGAAATTTTGAATTTCTGATGTTTGATTTTCTTTGGATTTTTTGGTTTGGTATGGTTAATTTTGAAAAAAGTGGTATGGTTAGTTGTTAGTGAGATTTTGAGTTTATATTAAAATAATATTTAAAATAAAATAATTAAAGTTGATTTGATGTAAAAGTAAGAGAGAGATGACGTGAAGTGGTGAAGTGATGGATAGTTAAAATCATATGAATAGATAAATAGTGAATTAAAGTTGATGTAATGTGTAAGATTGATTGAGTGGTATTATTTAATTATATTGATAATATTGAGGATAGTGGAGTTGGGTTAAAGTTGAATTAGCTTGATTGGATATTTTTGGAAAAATTTGTATCCAGGCATGCACTTAGAATATTTTCATGAAGTTAGCTGATCAATTTTGAGTCACTGGTTTGGGCGTGTGAAGATTTTGAAGGTCTGTTCAATCAACTCGTTTTTTGAAAGTAAATTGAATTATTTTAGATTACTCTTTGAATCTTCTTGTAGGATCTTGATGTACCTTCTCTGTCTACTTCTCCAAGCATTGAATAATATAATTAAAACAAATTAGAATGAGTAGTCTTTTCATTGAAACCTATGGCAACTTAACCTTCTCTCTATCACAGAAAAGATTTTCGAGATTCATCCAATTTATGCAGATCATTTATTAACAGTCATCGTGGGATTTTTCTTTACAGGGCAAATGCACAGCAGCCAAAGCTATTTGTTGGCATGATTCTTATTCTCATTTTTGCTGAAGCTTTGGCGCTATACGGTCTTATAGTTGGAATTATTCTTTCTTCACGAGCTGGCCAGTCAAGAGCTGACTAATGATATTGTACTTATTGGTCACTGTTGAAGTTATACATATTTTATTTATGTTCGCTTCGCACTGACAATTCCGATTATTTGTAGAATTACATTTGTTTTCTGCTGAATAAGAGCTTCTTTGTAAAGCTCGGTCTCTTGGAGAACTCGAATTCTTTTTC